TCTTGCCTCTGCCCCAGCAGGCTTTTTGGAAGATGTGAAATTGTAATTGGTGGGTTTGCATGACACACAGAACCACGACACAGCCAACCCACCCATGTTGGGTGAACTCTGACTTTGTGTGCCTGACACACACACAACTTATTTGCCACGTTTGCCCGTTTTTGAGGATCATCATAAAGTCCTCAAAAAGGCTGAGTTTTACACATTAGGCTATGCCAGTGTTTCTCAACCTTGGGAACTTTAAGATGTGTGGACTTCAACTCCCAGAATTCCCCAGCCAGCATTCTGGGAGTTGAAGTCCACACATCCTAAAGTTGCTAAGGCTGAGAAACCCTGATACAGACAGTTTCCTTGGGGTGGGATCTTGGTGCACCAGGTCTCTCTACCTGAATCTTCATAGATGATAAGTCAATCAAGGTCCATCAGTACAGTGACCACACATTCTTTATTTCAGAAAGCTGTCCTTTAGATGCATTTATTTTTCAAAAGCTCACTTTTCCCCTTTATTTCAGTCCTTACACTTCTACCGTACAAACAGTAGCACTTAACACACCGTCTTTCAAATTCATGTGAACAATATGGAAATCAAATGGTCTTTTAAAAATAAATGGACATCTACGGTTTGATTTTAGATATTTTTATTAGAATAGGCATTTTGTAAAGCTTTCCTTAGCTTTGCTCTTGAATTTGCCTTTGTAGAGCAAAGATACAGGCATGAACAATTAAAACAGGTTATCCTTAGGAACTTCTTTCAGATTGGCCCCCTTTTCAGGTTTATTTTTTCCAAGAAAATATGGTCCTCGTATCTATCAGTCTGGATGATTGAACGTTATCTCCAGGTTGGTGGTGAGATTCCTCCAAATGCCAGTTGAAGGGGGACAGCAGAGAGCGATACCCCTCTTTTTTCCTGGGGAACAGCCCAGAAGCATTTGGGGGCCAAATTGCTCCAGTAAGACAGGCCTTGACCTGATCCAGGGGTCTTGCCCCACTTCCTTTCATTCCCGTTAAGCCTGATGAACTGGGATCCAGCAGCCGTTCTTGCAGGCTATAGCAGAAGACGAGACAGACACCCCCCCATCCTGTCACATCAAAGGCTGTAGTTCCCTAACATACAACCCAGCAACCGCAACTGGATTCAGGTAGCATAAACCATAGTTTACAGATCACACCGGCTGGGTTTAGGCAAGACGCAAGATTCTTTTTAGGAACTGGCATCTGAGAGCCCTTATTCACCATCTCCAACTCCGTCTGTCCAACCCAACAGGATGTTGGAAAGATTTCTGGAAAGGGATTTGGGACACTGCCCGTCTCTTGGTCAGCAGGGTAATTTTCCAAAAACAGAACAGAGCAGGATCAAATTTGGTGTGACGGGAGAAGCTGGCAAGAGAAAGATAGGCTGGATCCAGCTCGGGACTGTGGAGAAAAATATCCTGGGGGAAAAAACTCACAGAAATCCCTTCTGGAGGGGAAGTTGAACTTTTGCTGCTGATGCCACTATTCTAAGCCCTCTGCCTGGTGGTATTCACAGGGGGGAGGTCAAAATCTGCAAGATGGCAGGCACAGGGTTGCAACTGAAGCTCCGCCCCTTGTATGCAGATACCAGGCCCCTCCCTCTTCCTTTCCCAGTCACGTGACCCCAAGCAGAACGTATGGTGCCCACCTGTTTCCCAGGGCATACCTACACACAAACACGCAATACAAAGGGAAACCCAGCAATGCAACTCACACAAAATGGACTACTTTGCTCTGCAGAAGGAAATACAGACCTCTCCTGCAGCTGTTGCTAGCGAAGGGGTCAGAAAGAATTTCAAAATCCCTGCTCAGCCGGTTTGGTATCCTACCTTTTCCAGATTAGAAACCTGAAGGCAGGGACTTTTGTTTCAGTGACAGCTAAAGTTTCCATGGGGGTGGGTCCCCAAAAACCCAAATTTGTAGTGAACAATAAATAAAATTAAGAGCCAATGGTATGCATATGATATGCTTATCCTTGGCTTAGTTAACCCTACCTTCTAGGGTGCACAGAATGCTAGGCTTAAAAGGAGGCAGATGGGTGTGTGTGTGTGTGAATACAGTCATTGAGATAGACAAAATGTGGGTCTCCTTCCTTCTCAGTGAACTCTGGGCCAGTCCCAACCCCCTGCCATGCCCCAAACAAGCCTGGCTGTTTTTGTGAAGATACTCTACAGCAGTGTTTCTCAACCTTGGCAACTTTATGCTGTGTGGACTTCAACTCCCAG